AATTTTTAAATTAAACAAATATTTTTTCTACTTTAATTTTATCATTATCTATTTATTTTAATTAATTATTTTATAAAAAAAGTCTTATTTTATCTTTTAATTTTTTTAAATAATAAGAGTAAATATATAAATGATCCTTAAATCTTTAATTAAAAAAAAAAAGAAAATAACAATTATTATAAAACAAAAAAGTACAATTTAATTCGATTTAAACCAAGATTATCAATAGCATTTCGTATTAGTTACAGTACCTTAATACATACCGGTCTTAGGGTTAATCCAAAACAGTGTAAAGTTAAATTTCATTTTGATCAAATACCAGTCATTTCAGCCAAAATTCAATGCACTGGTCAGTATTTGGGCATATTAGCCAATACACCGAAATCTTACCGATAGGAGTATTTTTTTCTATAAAAAACAACAAATCACATACTAAATGATGTTGTAAAAATATGTTTATCTTTTAGAAAAATACAATTATTAATGTACTTATCTTTTTTATCAATAAAATATCCCTATATATTTTTCTAATATATATACATAAATCATGACTTGAATTTTAAATTATTATTATTTTTATCAAATAGATTAAATGATTATTCAATTAGATTTAAACTTAAAAGAATACATTACAAATTTAAATAAATATTTAAATTTTTTAGTTGGGTTGAGTTTAAATTCAAATAAATACATGAATTTTTATAAACAAAATATAAAATATATTGATATACTGTTTTCTTTTAATATCATAATATTAATATTTCATAAATTTTGTCATTTTAAATATGTTTTTAATTTCTTAAAAATTGATTTTTTTAATTATTAAAATTTTTTATGCTCATTAAATATCATTTCATGATAATATATTTAATTTATATAAATATATATTTATAAAGAAAAATTCAAAATAATACATAAAAAAATTAATATTTAATATGTATCATTTTAATTTTTTTGGTATTAATCATTGATTAATTTGAAATTAAACAACATCGGACCTCATAAAAAAAGAGTTCTTTTTGCACTTATTTTTTTATTTATAAGACTAAAATTCGAGATTTTATTTAATAAAAATCAAGTTCATTTCAGTCGAATCAATAAATAGTTGATGTATGTATCATTTCAATAATAAAACTAATACACAAGTTGTTGTTACTATGTTGACAATTTTAATTCACACTATAAAATAAGTGACTCATTCATGAATGCAAAAAAGTAAACTCATCTTATTCTCATGGTCATTAATTGTACAAACGTCTTCGTCAAAGGTTTTGAATTGAAAACTCGTTAAAGGAAGAAAGAAATTTAAGGAAGGACTTATCATCAATTCTAAGGGAAATCGATTCTATATTTATGCACCACAAAAGTTACTGTACATATTTGGATTATTTGTTTAGAATTGATTAAAATTACTCTTTTTATTTTAAAATAATTATTGTTAAAGTATTATTTTTATAAATTTAAAAAATTTAAAATAATTTATATAGTGTTAATAAATTAAATAATTTAATAATAATTT